TTCATTTTTGTATTTGAATTTGTATAAATCATGTCTATGGGTGGATAATTTTTTTTTTTGTTATGAAGATTGATAGAACTCTGAAATTAAGCAGCACAGTATTTTCACTATAGTTTAATCCATATTACAAATTTTTGAAGTACGTTTCCTCTGACAGTTGCATGTGAAAAAGTTCATGTGAAGCTGGTGGGTTTTATAAGTTAAAATTACAAGGTTCAAAACATAACTTTCGTCACCATAAACAAAATTTATGAGTTGACAATGAGCTTAATACATATGTTTAATGAGTAAGTTAAAGAAAAGGAAAAATATTTAATATTGCTGCAGTTGTCTTTTTCAGTAGCTTGAGTGTGAATGTTATTTTTAATTTTGCTATTTTGTGAGACGTATGCACCATTGTCATTGTTTATACAAATGGCAAAACAGGCAAAAGAATTCCTTCTGTCTTGGCAGCCAGACCTTTGGGAAAGGCAGTGCTTCAGCTTCTGTTGGTCTTTGTATTTGAGACTTTCTGTGTCTTTGTAAACAAGGGGAAAAAATCTGGAATTAATTAGATAAGTCATTGTTGAATGAACTAAAAAATGTTTAGTTTTTTTTTCAGGAGGACTTTTTAATGAAAGTTTGGTTCTTCTTTTAGAATGTTAGCTTAAATTCATTTGTTTCAAATTCATGCTTTGATTTCTGTTTCTGAATTAGGGAAATCTAACCACTCAATTCCATCAAGAATGATGGATTATGTGTATTCTATACAGTATTCTGTACAATGACTGTGTTAGGAAATACTGACTCACAGACAGCAAAAGTAGAAATGGGGAAATGATCAAGCAAAATGTCCGTGACTGGAACTTAGCAAAGTTCCACTCCCTGGAATTTTTAAACTAGCATTGATATAGATGAAAGTTAGCTACACTGGGCAGTGGTAATAATTCTGGTACCAGACCCCATTTTCAGTTTCTTATTTTAAAACTTGGAAAAACTTGTAAAACTTAAGTCACTTGGACTAAGAATTCTTCAGGTCTCCTGTGTATCTTTTAGGCTGGATGTTTTCAGGCAAAATTTTTAAGGTGAGATTTGAGTAAATGTCCTGTTTGCCCAGGTGTCCCTCTCCCCATACCTTTAAGAAGAAAAGTGAATTGAAGTCTTTGATCAGTGACTTAAATTTTGGCAAAGACCTCCCTTTTTTTCCCAAGGACAGAGGAGAAATTTATTCACGTCAATTGTATGAAATCTGAGAAAAGGGAAGCTTTGAAGGATATTGTGAGAGAAATAGTTTCCTCATAAATATCAGAGTCATGGTATGGCAGGTTTTAGATCATTTGTCATTGTGCTTAGAGTGTGCTGTGGGCTATTTGAGTGTACTTATCCCTACAGTTGGAGTTGCTACAAGACTTGCAGGGAACAGAAATGTAGATTGAGAAGAAAGATGTTAAAGACAGTATCAATGACTGGTAATGCTGCACTAGGTGATAAGAGTAAAATGGGGCAGTGAGTGTGGAGAGGTGACTTCCCTTCTTTTGGGTCATCTTTTGTCATTGATAGAGAGATGTGAGCAGAATGTGCAGAACTCAAGAATCCACAGCAGTCACTTGTGGTGAGGAGTAGCATTTTGCTAGGCTAAGCTTCAGTATGAATATCTCACCCAGTGCTGATGTGTGATGTATCTTTGCTGGGTGGGCAGTCTTTGGTAAGGTGAAGATATTTCAGCCTCTGCTGCTCCTTGGACCAGGCTGATCCTTATCTAGCTGAATTGCCATCCTCAGATTCTCCACTGTATTCTCACAGGGTTTAATGTTCATGGGGTTTTTTTGTTTTGGTTTTTTTCCTCGAGTCACTACTCTGTACCATTTTTTATCAACAGGCATGATGAAGTTTTTTGCTCATCTACCAGAGTTTAGCATTTGCACTATACACTTGTTTCCTCAGTAAAGCTAAGCCAAAATCTTGAAGATGTGCTGTATGAAACAGGGCCTTGGGTTACAGACAGACAAACCTAAGAGCTGTGGTTGTCTGGTACAGCCCAATATGGAGATCATGGTGGGACTAGGACTAGAGAAGGACCTGAACATGGACAGTAAATGTAAAAAAATAGAATTTAAATAGTGTGCAGAGGCAGCAAAATCCAGACTATTCAAGCTTCAGGACTTGTGCAAAGTTGGACTGATTAGAGAAAGACACTGAAACAAGAAAACCACGTGGATCATAGTTAGGGGAGGGAGGATACTGAAACCGTTTAAAGGACCAGGGAGGGGTAGTTGGAGATAGGAGTCCTATGTGAAAATGAGTAGTTTGCTATGGTCAAGACAAGTCAGTGATGCTGAAATGGGGAGTGGGTGACTGGAAAATGACATCTTAATAAATTTTCACTACTTCATTGTTATACGTAGCAGAAGGTATTTATTATGATTGCAAAATTATAATCAAAACATTTACAAAAGTAGCAAAGAAGTATTTATTAAAAAAGAAAAAAGTATGAATAGTAAGCATTAATGAAAAAAACAATGCTAGAGCATAATTTGCATTACTTATGTAGTTACATTTCTAATGTATTTATTTTGTATACTTTAAAACTCTTTATTCTAAATGCAGAAAAAAGTTGGTATACAACTTAATTAATTAATTGTCTGCAACCCTTCATTAAAAAGGGGTTTTTTTCTGAAGTTCCATGTTTTGTTAGATATTTTCCTTGATGTTACATGCTGTTGTTCATCTATCTTCACCTATTAATTAAAAAATAAAGTAGCTGAGTAGTTTGGAATATTTTCATTTTTTTAATGTTTTCCTCTGTTTCCAAAAATGAGTAGGAAAGGAGAGATTTCAGAAATTAGTAAATTATAATCACAGATTCAAGTACTTTGTAGTATTCTGAAATCAAGTTCTTCAACTTCTTTGTTTCCATCATTTTTATCTTTGTCTGTCTGTAATTCAAATGGTTGATATAGTCACATTCTGTGTTATTTTCTTCTAGAGAGGAAAATATAGTGAAAAGGAATATGGGGGGAAAAGGACATTTCAGAATGCCTATGACCACTAATAAGACAAAATGCTAAATCTACTCTGTAGTTCCAAAGTAATGCAGGATGATAAATAATATTCTTTTCTTTCGTATTTTTCTCCCAAATTCAAGTTGTAAAGATAGAAGTTGATATAGATGCATTTCTTGAAATGCATTTTAGCTTCCTTTTAATGCTTTTAAAAGTTGTTTAATTTCTGCCTGGACTAAAGATCTGACATTTTTTAGAGGGAACCAGTGTCACTGATCTGAATGAAAGTGCCCAACAACAGCAGTAACAAAAGTTTAGGGAAATGGTAAAATTAAATATCAAATGGAATAATTTGATTCACCTTATGCCCAGCATGTTACAGGGTGAGACATTCCTTCTTCCTACTGGTTTCATTTGGTTTAGGTTTGTTACGTATAGATTTTACTGCCAAGACATAATATAATAAGAATATGTATATCCAAACAAATTATTATTTTCCTATCTACAAAGGTAGTTTTATCTCTTGATTCAGTTGAAACAAACTTCATGCTTTATCTAGACTAGGTTACTGGTGGATGTGCTGAAAGTAATATTCAAGAATAGAGTTGTGTATGTGGTAATGACATTGCAAAAAATCTGCATAATGTTTTACTTGACTTTCATTTTTTGTCATGATGAAATAATTTTCTTAAGGGTCATTTATTGTATTATTTGAGAAAAATTTTAAGTAAGCTTGTTACAAGGCACATCATGGTATTTGATTTCACTGAACTTTTTTAGTTCTTTTGAAAGTGATTTCTTTAATACTTAGCACTGAGTTTCACAAACAGAATATCTTGTTGGTACACTGTTCCCAAACTTCTGGCATGGTGTTAACTGCTATTAATTAATAGATTTTTATAATAATAAAATACAATTTATCTTTGTCGTTTCTTTTAATATGTATGTATTACATCTGAATTTTATTTGCATGCATTCAGCCACAGTATAGACAAAACTGTGTTATAACAAATGTTATTCTAAGTATATTGTTGAAACAGTCCTTTTCAGGAATACTGTACAGTGCTTTTAGTGAATTTTAATCAAGCTTTTAGCTTGATTATGATATAATACAGATGCATCCATTCTTTATACCTATTGGTTAACTTCTGGCTGCTTTTGGAAAAAAACCTGTTACTAAATTTTGCATGCTTAAGGACTAGTGTGAAAGAAAATCATGATTCTTTTTTTTTTGCGTTTCAGAAATAGTCCATTTCCACTTAAGAGACCTGTTATCTTTATAGAAAATTTTAATACTGAAGATTAAATATGAAATTATAATGGAATATATGAAATGTTTGTTTTGTAAGTTAAGCTTTTCTACATCTGTCAATCAACTTGCAAAATTTTATGGCCATTAAAAAAAGGTCCAGTGTTAAGGTGCTTATTTTAAAATACAGGTATTTGTATGAACTTTTCAAGTGAATGCACTAAATTTTCCCTGCTTTTGTTTTCTTACTCTTTATTTTGTTTCTAAACACATATGTGAAATTTTTCCTTAGGCCACTTTATGTGTAAAGGTTTTATTGTGGAGTTGTAAATATAAATGAAAAATACTAGTTTTCTGTGGGGTTTTTGGCTTTTTGCTTGGTTGGTTTTTTTGCTTTGTTTTTGTTTTGTTTGAGTTTTTTGGATGGTTATCAAAATGCTTTAGATATGCTTCTACTTAAAAAGCTTATGTGTATAACCTCTTCTGGCTTTTATTTGGCAAAATGTTTATAGTGTCTAGGTTTCAGTAGAATATGAAATCATCTGTCAGTCTTAAGGAAAGGGCCTTTAATATGACTAGTGCCATTGAATTTTAAGATGACATCAAGGACACAATATTTTACTATTTGTGCACGACAAGACTGATTATAAATCAGTTTCCAATGCCTCTTATAGTGCACTATTGTCTTACATAGAGCCAGATACTATCTGTAAGAGGGCTGGAAAGGTAATTTCTTATCCCTTATAACTGACAGAAATCCACTACTTACCCATGCACTGAGCATGACAGGATTTTATTCAGCATCGTGGCTTCCCATCCTGACCACAGGAACTGGCAATGCTTTCTAGTACTAAAAATGAAAGCTTTTAGAATATCAAAAACAAATTATCATACCTTCTTATTTGTTTGTTCCCATAGAGCTGAGACACAAGTACTCTTGAGCTCACTACACAATTCTTTGTACTCAAAAGGCATCTGCTGATGTCCCCTCTAAACTTCCTAAGCTGCAGGTTGTGGCTGTGAGCCCTTGTGGTGAGAGCCCTCCCTCTCTGAACTAATGAGAGTTTGGTAGCACTGTGAGCCACAAAATCAAAGAATCACAAAATATGCTGAGTTGGAAGGGACTCTTAAGGATCATCAAGTCCAATCCCAGCCCTGCACAGGATCACACCCAAGAATCATACCAGGGACCTGAGCATATTGTCCACACTTCTTGAATCCTGCCAGGTTTGGTGCTGTGACCACTTCCCTGGGGAGCCTGTTCCTGTGCCCAGCCACCCTCTGGGTGAAGAATGTTTTTCTAATATGTCACTTAAACCTCCCCTGACAGAACTCCAGGCCATTCCCTTGGGTTCTTTCACAGGTCACCAGGGGGGAGATCAATACCTGCCCCTCCTCTTCCCCTCACAGGAAGGTGTAACTACAATGAGGTCTCACCTCAGTCTCCTCTTCTCCAGGCTGAACAGACCAAGTGACCTCAGCCCCTCCACATACAGCTTCCCCTGAGGGCTCTTCACCATCTTCATTGACTTCCTTTGGACACTCTCTTATAGTTTAATGTCTTTCTTAGGAATTGTGGCACCCAAAACTGCCCCCAGCACTCAAAGGTGAGTGCAGAGCAGAGCGGGACAATTCCCTCCTTGCCTGGCTGGCAGTGCTGTGCCTGATGCATCAGTTCTCTCCCTCCTGGCTCCCTGGGGTACTTTGTTACTGGACAGCATCTACAGCTCAAACTACTGCCTTCTGTTTGTTGTTTGACTCCAGCTGTCTTTCAGCCTATTCAACCTGCTTTGTTTTCTGGTACAGGAAAGTGCTGTACCAGGCTGATAGAAAAGCCTTATACTGGACACCTTTTGGTGTGTTGCAACCATTGCTGTTCCCTCTTTCACAGAGCATGTCATTTGTCATTTCAAATATGAGCAACCCCTCTGCCCTTTTTAAATCTTGGCTGAGTGCTCTCAGTTACTTTCATGTATTTGACAATGGATCCCTTGATCTTTCCCAGTATGGGGACAAGGCTGACCAACCCATGATTTCCTAGGTACTGCTTACTATAATTTTTTGGTGTGCATATCTCACCTCTTTAACATGGGCTCAACTTAGCGTTTTTCGGTTTTCAGAGTCCTGCCTTGGCTGCAATGGTGTTTCTTAGATCTTACACTGGAGTCTGACAGAGATAACAAACATCCATTTCAGAAACTTTGAATAATTCCTGTGGACTGGAATATATCCAAATGGACTAGACCCTTACTTTCTGCTTTCCTGCTGTTGGCTGTCCTTCTCTGTCCCATGTCACACTGGTAGGCATGGAGGCCACAGGCCAAATTTTCAGTGTGCTTGTTGATGCATTGAGCTCAAAGGCATCACATACACAGCCCCTTCTGCTTTATTTCTCTGAGCTCTGAGTAAATTTTCTTTTAAAAAGTGCCCCTTTCACTGGGCAGCCTTCCCTTTCATAACAACTTCCTTCAAGATTCAGCCTAGCAGTGCCTTTGACAAGCCAGTACTTCCTCTTCCAAAACCATGATACAGCTTTTTGTGGTCTTCCTTATGGAGAAGTGGTGAATTCTTCTGTAATTTTAACCCATAGCAGTGGTAAGAGATGGTACTTACACCTCACTTCGTTTCTAGACTCAATGTTCCAATAAGCCATAAAGTATCACTAGTGCCATTAATATTTTCAATCTAATTTATAAATAAAACTGGATTGTAATTGATTTCTTAAGCATAGGAGCAAGTGCATCACAGGTTTTGACGTGGACTGTGATATACAGGAACTTGATGAAGAGGTTCCCTGTGATCCTGTAGAGACTTTTGAATGTCTCACAGTAGAACTGTTACAGTTCTAAGGTTTCTGGGAGTGGGAGTTTTGAGAGGAAAAAACCCTTATAAATATCTTGAAGAATAATTTACTTTGAAAGGAGGAAAAAAATGCCCATCTCCTGGCTCTCAGTCTGTGTTTTATATTTGTGCTTGGTAGAGCAGCAGAGCAAGAAACCAGAATTCCTACCTTGGCTTGTTTTGTAGCATTTCTGATAGTCAAGCTTAGATTTTAACATATTGAAGTCACACAGATGGTTCTAAATGCTTCACAGATATCAATAAACTATCAATAACTGATGGCCAACTTAAAGGCATAGGCCTGTATTTTCACAGAAAACAGTATGAAAACTGTACAGTCCAGCGACTTTGGTGTTGACTGTCCATTGTTGAAATTGAAACAGTGAAGTGAAATTTAGATTTTTCTGACAGAATTCATCCATATCCACTGATAAAGAGGCAGCCCAATAAATTACTTAATCTAATTTTCTGTAAAAATAAACAAAATTATTCTAATTGTATTATATAATTATAACAACTTAAGACTTTCATTGATATACTGAAATGGTAAAAATATCCTTTAAACCATTTCTTTTATTTTAAAATACTCTATTCAGGTTTTTTTAATTTCAATTTAATATTATAATCTAATTTCTTTATACAGCTCACTAGTGAAAATGTTTCTCAAAGTATGGTCTATAAATAATAAGCAAGTTCTGCATTTGAAGGAAGTTTAGATTTTTATTTCCAATAAAATATTTGATCTGTAAGATTAATGGTATGCTAGTATATTTATGCAATACTTAAGAAGGGGTACACGGTCCTCACATTAACAGAAACAGTTACAGTGAGTGACAGTACTCATAATACAAAGCTGTGTAATATATAAAATGTACATATTTTTATTGAGCTTATGCTTTTGAGTTTACTGATAGATGAAGTCAGAATTACTTACTGTTTTTGGAACACGTAATTTTACAGAGAAGATACTGTGTATCAATTATTGGCAGCAGAACTGAAAGTGACTGGTACTGAGGGTCATTTGTGTTTTCTCTGAAAGTGTTTCTGCAGACATGTCTGGTGTGCATTCAGAATGGCCTGAATGTTGATGCTGCTATAGACACCGAAAGCACTTAAACTCTGGAATTATATAGACTAGACATAAAAAGTGAAACTGAGCAGAACTGTCATCTCCTGTGATACAAGAAGTTGGGAAGGCAGTGAAGGACTGACAGCTGATCTTTAACTCCATTTCCGTTGCTCTTTAAATTATCAGAGGAAAGCTCACGTTTATGTCTAATCCAGCAAATCACGTTTTGTTAGCCAAGCATGTTTTGTGTGCACAGACAGCATAAGACTAAAGCTGGGTGAATATAGGGCAACTTAGCTGACCTGTCAGCTACATATTGCTGGCAACATCTAGTGCCACATCCTGATTCAGTTTCATTAGCATATAATGATGGTTACATTATTTATCAATACTCCTCTCAAAGCTTTGTAACTCCCTATATATGGCTTTTCCCTCCCCTAGGTTTTATGCAGTTCAAAATTAACTTAAATTGTGAGGTTCATAATGGTACACTTATTTTCTGTTAAAACTGTGGAAACCTGTACTTGATGTCATATATAATGTAACCTATTATTAATTATTATGCTTATTGCATACCAAGCAGGTTTTTCTTCTTTAGCATGTAAGTACTTGACTAAAAATAAGTACAGTCTAATACAGTGTAGATTACACGATATTGTGCAGTTGGGATTGTGTTATACAAACCCCAACTCCATATTTTCAGTTCATAATAATAATGATGATAAACATAATGCTCTATGATCTGTTTTTCTACTTACATAATACATATGCTGGCAGTCACAAGACTCAGTTGAATTCATGGGTTGCCATTCAGTTGAATGTAATTTTTTTTTGCAGTGAGTACAGAGATTAAACTCGAAAATGGGCTCCTCATGCTCATTCAAAATAATAGCAGGAGGAAGGAAGGGTTTTGCTTTAAGTGGAAAGGGATAGTCACTCCTTGCAGTTTAAGCACTGAATCAGATAGAGACAGCTGCAGAGGCAAGATATGCATTGCAAAAACAGATCAATTGGAATCAGTCCCATCCAAACGAAATTACATCACTCAATAACCTTCCTTTCAAGCCATTGAAGTCTTCTGGCCCAAATTTCTCTTGTCAAGTCACTGAGTTTTGCCAGTGATTAAAGTATCTTGAAATTGCTTCGATAACATCAGGGACCTTGTTGTGACAAGGTCTGTAAATGCAGTCATTTAAAAGAGAAAGCTGGGTTTCATGTAGGGTATTGAGCGTATTGACTGTGTATTTTTCATGGGTTCTCAGAAGCTTGTATTCACAAAGACAGTACAGAGTGAAGGAAAATGACATATCCTATACAAAAGATTAAATAAAATATTGGTATCATATATGTGAAATGGTTTCAGTTTTCCTCTGAAGTAGCTTGAAAATGTGTTCTTGTTTTGAAGTGGGCATAGAAGTACTCAGAGAACAGAATTCTGTCAATTAAGACAGTCAACATGTATATACAGTGACCAGCACTAAATGTTGTTATTTATGTTACCATAAATACTAAGTTACTAAGACAAAGCAGGGCTCTTCTGTTCCATTGGTACCTCAGATGCTGTGGTCTTTTGTCCTGCAGATAACTTTTTTACGGGCTAATCAGTGTGTATATTAACAGATAGAAATCTGTAACTGTTCAGGAAGCATTTATTAATATTTATAACTTGAGCAGTACTGTGAAAATTAAAGTAATTAGCAATGTCTAGAATTATTGCTCATCTTTGTTTTTGGGGTCTGATTTGGAGTTTTTTCCCCCCTCTAAAGAGCTCAGTCATTCGCTTAGTAGAGTTGCTGGCTACAGATTAATTTCTGAGATGAGATATGTATTTTTAAAATTCAGGCTATTACTTAGCATCTTTACCTTGTGAAAGTTATTTGCAAATACCCCAAATTCCTCTTTAGTCTTAGCAGACTTAACCTGGTGGGAGAGTCCTAATTTTTCAGAGTTGCTAAGGTACACTGAAGCAGCTTCTTGCCTTCAGACCCTTGAAGATAAACTGATTTTAGATTGTAGTTGAAAATGTATTTTTACTTGTGCCCAGTTAGCAGCCAGAAACGTTGCCCTTAACCTGATGAAGGCAAGTATTAAAATGGCTAAAAAAGAACCAGGATCAAAACTGCTGACATAAGCATTACCTTTGTCTGTGATTTGCCATTTTCTGAGTCTTTTACATAAATGAAGAGTAAAACATATTGAAATAACTTGTGGGGTTTCTTGTCCCTATAGTCTTTTGAAAAGGAAATCTGCACATAGATCTTAGACACCTTCCCTTTACACAATATTTTCTTAAATGAGGAAACAGATGGACAGCCCTGTGTGGTAAGGGAGGAGGGAGGTTGGTGTGTTTCTTCCTCTTCGTACCAAAATTTGAAGGAAAGTGCTTTTTGTCCTGGGTTGAAGGAGAGCTGGGAGAGAACAACTCTTCTAAAGGACCAAATATGCAATTGAGAACCTTCCTGTTTAAAGCATCTATTATGGCATTATCTGTGATGCTTTTTTCTTTCTTAATATTTGTTGCATCTGCTGGTAAGAGAAGAAGGCTGTTCAGTTTTGCTCGCCATCCTTATTTCAGATTTTTGTGCTCACTAAATCCTTTTCCTAAGTTAGGCTATAAATATAAGTTCAGCTATTGCAGACAACTCTGAGTTCTTCAGTCAGTAGAAATTTGAATGAATGTACAGGAATGGGAGCAGTTCTTTGTTGAGGAAGGGCTGGCAGATGGTGTGTAGGCACGGAGGAAGAGCAGAAGGAGAGACTAGAACAGGAGAAATGTCAGCGATGTGAGTGGTCTCAGGGCATTATTCAGTCATCAGATGAGTTTGCTGTTGTATTACAGTAATGCAATTAACTACAACAATTACAAGGTATTGTATTTATATATTCATATTCCTTTGTCTTTTAACAATATTTCACTTGCTAGAACAAAAAAAAATTTCAATTGTTTAAATAAAGCCAGTAGTGATTCCTTAATTAATAATACTTCAAACATGAGAGGGGTGAAGATAACCCTAGAATGTGTAAAATAAATTATGTCAAGTTAAATTTTTAATAGAGTAGAAATGGAAAAATTGCCCTACTATTTAAAAAATCATTTCCCTTTAAATATATGAGTAAATATTCTAATATCCTTTAAATTTCTTGATATGTTGTTACCAATAAAAATTTAATACAAACAAATATTATAGGAATAACTAGTGCAGGTTACCAGCACTAGATTACTTACACTTCCTACTTGATGTCTCTGTTCTTACAGCCTAACCTGAAGTGCTACAAAATACTAGGATCTTTTCTCAGTAGTTACAGGTTTCCTCTGAGATCCTTGTTTGTACTTGATTACTTTTATTTGTGAGCTTATTAAAATGTAACTGATTATTTTATTGGTTCAGCTGTGAAGCTGGTTTTTTATAAAAAAACATGTTTACATGGATAAAAATTTTATATAAAAATAATTTATAAATATAAATTTATATGTAAGTACAGTTATATGTAGTCATACATACATATATATGTGTGTGTATACACATATTCTCATACTCACCTACTCATTTTGAGGAACCAAAATAAAACTCCTAGTATTTGAAGTATGGATTGCTGTATTCCTGCCCAAACCTTACTATAGCCCAGATGGGGCAGCCTGTCATGTTCTGATGGCCTGACTGAAATGGTGCAGTTGCAATACTGACATTGCTGTGAGAGGGTAGAGGTGGCACAGAGACCTTCAATTTATCTTGATTTTTTCTGATGCTACCCTTTAAGCTTCTGCATTTCAGTGTGCACCCATGTCAGCCTCACCCACTGAGGCTGTCAGAACAAAACTAGTTGCACTCAGTAAGGGAAGGAGATTGTAATGAGATGAGTATGAAGAGCATTTTGTCTTGCAGCTAAGCTTTTCTTCAGTTTTCTTAAAAAGTTCAAAATTGCACTGTAGATTGCAGTTCAAGACACCCAATTTAAAATTTCAATCATGTCTCAAATAAGAGATGAAGTGAGAATTGGGAGTGGATTTTCATATGGTACTTCTTAGAAGAAGTACTCTCTAATTCTTAGACTCAAAGTCCTTATATTCAAAACTAAAATTCAGTTGCAAAGGATTTTTTGTTTGAACATGTGGCAACAAGATGGCTCCTGTTCATCAGACTGTTATATTTTATCAAAGTGTGACAGCAGTTTCTTTTTTATTTACAATTATACTTAAATACATTTCAAATTAAAAAAAAACCCCAAAAAACAAACAACAAACCACCAAATGTAGTGATGGAGACTTATTATCAGTCTTTTGTTCAAAATGTATCTGCTCAGCTTAAAGACAACATAAATGCTTTCCTAATTAAAATCTCCTAATGCTCTAAGATACATTAATTTGCTGTATGGCAAGTACTTTAAAGAGTTTAAATTTATGGAATCAGGACTTTAAAATTGTATTGATTTTTTTAAAAAGTGATCTTGAAAAGTATGTATGTCATGAGTGTCAAAAGACAGGAAGTACGAGTAGGAAAAGAAAAAGTTGTGAAGGCTTTGGAATTATTGGCTCAAAGACATTTTTTCAGAAGTGACTAAAGCCTTTATGTGCTGAATTATTACAATGCATTTTGAAAGAAACCGTCCCTTACTTAGTCCTTCCTAAATCCTAAGACTTGTTTTCTTTCAAATGCTAATCTATAAAACAAGCATTTTTTAACATTATAACATAGTACCCATGTTTGTACATGTAGTCAGTCTCATAGCTGCATTTCTGTGGGTTGCAAATCTGAGTAAAATGCTAGCTTTACAATGAAGTCTACTTGTATAAAATTGTTGCTTTCATGATTAAAAAAAAAGGAAAATTATCTTCTCTGTCTTGTGGTGGACTGCCTTTGTTCTTTGAGCTGTATTGAAACAAAGTTATAAGTTATAAGGATGCTATACTTTACTCAGTTTAATGTTTTGACATTTAGAGACTCTTGAAAATTTGGTGTGGGTGTCTAAGTATTTGGATCTGAGCATACACATTGCTTAAATTTAGTGTGATATTAAAATGTTTCATAAGACAGAGGAGAGCTGCTATGATCTTTCAATGTTAATATTTTTTTCTTATCACTTTACTGTGTAGATACCCTTCATGAGACACAACTCTGCCACAACTCATCCTCGGAGGCAATCGTGGAAACCTTTTATAATAGGATTTTTAAATGTGGATAAAGCTCTCAATAGAATACCTAAAGTAAAGGAGAACAGCTACCTTGTCTCAACTATAAGCTTATTATGACAAAACATTGAGTTTGCTTGTCAGGCTTGGATAGAATGTAATTGATTGGTTTGTTATTTGGACTGACAAGGTAGTTAATTTGCCTGCATTTTTTTGCACTATTCAGGAACATTTTGTATGTGCATCGTTGAAAAATCCCGGATAAATGTCTTGTCAGGATTGTCCTATTAAGTAATGTCTCTTTCCCCTGTGCTTCGTTGGCAAATGATGTTATACAATGCTTGGATTCATTGAAGAGTGACAGAAGCCTGTGGGACTTAAATATTGTGTGTTCCTCTACGGTGATACTGAAAGAAATAAGCAATGGTTTGCCATCTGCCTGCCACTCTACTTATTTACAGTTTAATAAGAACATTTCTATATAGAACACTGTGTTGTACATAGACCTTACTGTAAAAAGGATTGTTTCCTTAAAAAAAAATAAATGTTCAGTGATAATGAGACCTGTAAAACACTTGAGACTTACTATTCTGAAGGAATAGATTTGCCATGGAAAAATTGATTTTATGCTTATTAGTATGAACTAATTGTTTCTGATTCCAGACACTTGAGTGAACAGAACTATACCTATACTTCTTTCTGAGAAATTTTTTAAAAATAAGAAAAAATGGAGTA